AACGTCGTATTTCGGGTTGACTTCGGGTCAGCGCGTCGATACGCTCGGCTGCACGTACGATGTTCTTGTAGCTGTCGTGATTTGACGCGATCACCTGCCGCTGAACCCCCAATTTTAACCCTTCTGTGTATGCCGTGATTTTTTCGCCTTCGGTTAGGTCGGGGATGCGGGTGAACAGGAGCTCCATCTGCTGCGTGTACTGCGCTACACTACCGTACTGCTTGTGCCGATGAATTTGTTGCCGCGCCATGTAGGTAGTATTAACCAGTTCGAAACGCCCGATAAATTCTGCCCGAAACTGCTACCACGTTGTCTCCCCGCGGGCCACGTCAGTGTTGTAGATCCACTCGAGTGCTGGTCTGCGTAACAGTGTTGCTGCGAGCCGGACTCGTGTTGCGTCGTATGACGGGGTCGAACAGCCAATGGCCTCGAAGTAAATTTCGAGGATTGCCACGAAACGCTGGACGTCGGATCCCTTTGCGCTTGGATCGAACGCTTCCGGGAGCCTCGGTCGTGTTGCTTCGAGGTTCGGCGTCGGTGGTGCCATTGGGCCGTGAAATATCGGTGTCGCCACTGCTGCTGGAGTTGTCGGTGCTGCAGTGGTTGCAGTCGCTGCTGCTGTCGTGGCGAGCGCCGGGTGGCTTGTTAAAAAAGCCTCGAGTCGACGAAGCGTCGCCTGCGTCTGCTCCATGTCGGTGCGGAGGCTCACGACGTCGCTCGTGGTCGCGTAGTTGTCGCCCTGGCCTTTGTGTAACTCTGTAATTTTTCGTACGGAATTATCACCATTTTCCTCCATTTGGCGATTTTCCAGGAAGATTTCCGACGGAAATATATAAATTCTAGGCGCTGGTCATCTTACTGTGAGTCGAATCGACTGTAGAATTGACGAACCCTAATTCTGAAGGTCGCGTAATTCTCCCTTAACTGAAATTCGCGTCCGATCTCGGCCGTTGAGAAGATGGTTGATCCGACGCTCCAAATTCCAACCTTTTTGGTCGAAATTCTCAGGGCCGTTGAGATTCGCTGCGATCCGACGGTCGTAGTTCCAACTTTTTCGCCACTAGACCTGAGAAGTGTTCGAAAACCGGTTCGAGAGGGACGTTAAAAAATTGCGCGGAACTGGTTTACGTACCCGAAATCGGCGCTCTCCGTCGTCGCCCCCGCGGTTTTAAAAGCTAGGTTTTAGCGGTCGAAAAACTTCGCTTCTAAACAGGCTCTGAATACCAAGTGTGAGGATCTAGGATCGAGCTCAGAAAAGAGAATGTGAATTGAATGATCACCTGGGTACAACACGAGGCTATATATAGGCTCGACACAAGGCCCCGTAACCAGGTGTTACGCGAAGGTTCCGCGGGTCGCGAAGCGTCCCGAACAGATCCTTCCCGAATTCGGTAGAAGGCAACTCGGTGGCAACCGAAAAGCCAGAATTCGATGCACGCAACCTAGCTCGGTGCTATAACTATAATAAAATATAGGAAAGCACCTAGCCTAGGAAATCAAGCAATTCATGCATGCATAAAATGAACCTAAGCTAGTAATAGCGTAATAAAGTAAAAGCAAGCATGCATGGCTGGCATAAGCCGACGTACTCTCACAAGCAGGCACTAGAGTGGATGCACCTCAGTGTACGCCAAGACATGTCATGGCGTCGGTGGGTTATACCTTCTGCGTCCTCGTCCACAGGTTCCTCCTCGGGCATCCAATTGAGTTCTTCGCCGTCGTCGTCCTCGACATCCACGCGGTCGTCCTGGGGATCCGCCCACGTCATGTACTCCGTCTCAGCGTCCGGCTCGTCGCCGCGCACACCGTCATCGGTTGGCGACGGGCCACGAGCATGGCGAATGTTGGTGCGGGGCGAAGAGGTTTCTGGCCTGTAGTAGACCATGTCATCGCTTGTCGCGGGCACGCCGGCGGTGCTATGGGCAGAGCATCTGATAGGTGAGTATGGGGAGGTAGCATGCTCCATGGGCAGGTGAACTGAGGTTGCTTAGAGTTTGCCACGTTGTTCTGGCAATGCCACGCTGTGCAGGTGGTAATAAAGCCAACTGTGGGGCGCGTTGCGGCGAACTTGAACGGATAAGGGTCAAACGAAGGTGCATATACAGTTGAGCTGGCAACATGATCTCGCCAAATCACGCCGCGCACCAATAACCGCGCCCCACACAGATTAATAACCAGTAAATATCCAAGTTTCGAGGCAGCCAAATGCCAGCGCAGCTGGGTATGTTCCAGATATTTCCAGCACGGGCCACATGCCCCGTCAGTAGCGGATAGGAGATTGCGCGGGAGAACGGCCCGCCTGTGACGTGGCACAGCGCGAACGAAAGCGCCTTTCATAGTGCGCCGGCACACATTGGACCAATCACTGTGACCGTGTCACTTGGGTACGTCTGAGACATCTTCGGCGCATGCACAGAAAGCGCAAAGTTTTGTTGCCATTTGCAATCACTGATGCGCTTGTCAGTTAGCACGCGGTCTTTCGTTTCCTATGCCGCATAAAGTTTGCTTTTACGAGGTTTGATATTGATTATTGGGCTATAAGTGCAAGGTTGTGACTCAGAGCCGAAAATCTGGCAGGTCATCGTTTGGCCTACTTAACTTGTAATCCTGACACACGAGCCGATATAAGGGCAATTCGTTTGCCCCTGCGGGGATGTCCCACGGATAAATGCACTTGTTCTTTCCCATGTTTCCCCACCAAAACGCCTTCCCGTCGGCTGGGATCTCCCACCATGCGAGCATCCCAAGTGCGTGCGCCAATACGCCGGCTCCCACACCGTAAATTCCGCCGATGTGCGAGAACTTCCTGTACGCGAAGAGCTTCGGCTGCTTGATCTTGAACTGTCGATAGACGCGCCGCGCATTACGTGCGCGGTAAAAATCGAATAGACCATTCTCCAGCTGCGCACATGAAACAAAACTGTAGTGAGATTCGCACAGCAACGATTTTAAGCACCGTAGGCCAGACAACTTACCACCCACCCCTCACTCATGGCGAAGTGCATGAGATATGTCTGATAGTCGTGCACGGGCGGTCTTCTCGCCACCGGGTCATGCATGCCGGTTGCATCGTAGTTCACCTTCCTGTGCCCATCCATCACAACCCTCATAAAATCTTCCGCGAGCATATGTACGGTTTCCGTATCGCGTTGGTCGCGCAACACCGCGTAAATGCACGCCTTGTCGATGAATGATAAAGGCTCGCCCGGTCCACTTCCCCGAGCTGCCCGCAATGCCTGGAAAGCCGCCGTTCTTTGGGTGTCTGCGCGGACGTGTCGCGCGGGAACGAGATGCTGTATGCAGTTTGTCAACATCCGAGGCGCGGGGGTACATCTATTGTCGACAATGTGGTTGAACTCGGCTTGCATCAATACAGCGACAACAGAAGGAAAGTCGCGAACAAGAACCGAAACTGAGAGGGGGCGGGTGAGACTAGTGTGGATGCATGGCCACTTAGGACCTCTGTATCTTGTTGACTCGAAGCGCCGGCTACCGTCCCTGGCACAACGCCACACCCGTGGCGTAGTTGATGGTCCGTCGGCAGGCGCGGAAGCCATAGCCACCGTGACAGGCTACTAGCAGACAGCTCGCTTATTTTCCAGAGCGCTGCCACAATGTGAGTAATTGCTGCAAATGCAGCAGATTGACATTCGAGGAGGGCGATTTGGTTTCCTTGCGACGTCGCGATGTTCGCGACGGCTCGTTACAGCAATAACTGATGTCGGCAATGTTCACAAACCACATCGCTGAAACCCCTATCCACGCGGAGTCAATGCGCCTTCTTTGCACTGTCGATATCGTCACTGGATTAGCTGTCATGGGTTCTGCGAATCCGCCTCAGCATGTTTCCGGCCAATCGGCAACCCAGAACGAGCCACATTTGACACCGCTCTAACCCCTGCCTGAATCATCGACCCCACCATCCAATGAACCCGTGTGTTGGCACACTGTTGGATTCGTTTTAATAACGCACGCAGGTTGCGTACACCCATTGTATATTGTTGTGCGAGGTTAACGACATAGCCGTCTGCTGGCAGCCCGATTGGAATAAAGGTGCTGTATCGCGCGATACAGGAACATAGGGGCTCTCGCCAACGGCACATACCCATCAACGCCTACCCCTTTATTGTTTATGGTTCGCCTTACCAGGGGTTTCCAATGCCTACACAGGGGTCATTGTACGCCTGCGACTGGTGTGGCAACCGCTTTCGATCGCTCAATGGGTTGTTCGCTCATAAGCGCAGAGCTGGCGCCTGCATCATAGCCGCTTCTCGCTTCATCAGTACGACTCCTACTCCTGGCGGGAGCGAGAGTGAGTCAGACGATGACCAGTATCAGTTGTGTGACACTGATGATGACATGCCCGCGCTTAACGACGGTGACGTCGATCGTGAAACACCCATGGAGCAGCAGGAAGCGGTGAGATTTCCCCAAACCATAAGCGTAGGTGTTGAACATTCTTCAAGGTCGGCGTCCATGACTTCTGATATTTTGGTGCCATGCGCAGGTGTCCGGCGACAACGACGGAGAGTCAGACGATGCGGATGGTGCATCGTCAGACTAGGAAGCACATGCTGCAGCGCTGCTGGATGGTGAAGAAAGTGCGCCCGAGGGCACGTTCCAGCCAACGGACAACTTTGACACGCTCATGGAGGTGTTCCGGTTCATTGTGGGCTGCAACAACGGTGCGGGCCTCTCGAACGAAAGTACAGTGTGGCTCCTGAACCTTCTGCGTGACGAGCGCCTCGAGCTGGAGCGCATCCGTTACTGGAGAACATTGTACGCCGTGATACGATTCGGCATGACGCTGCTCATGTCCACGCGCGTCTACGAGACGACAACGTTCACCATTCTTGGATGGGATGGCACGTTCAAGGTGGTTCGCACAAGCGGGACGGAGGTAAGAAGATGTCACGCACAACCATGCGCTCTTATATGTGTAGAGGGACAATACTCCCTTCTGGAACCCTATTTAATTGTTAATCGCTTGACCGCTTTGCATGCAGGCCGTTATCGAGCTACTTGGGAATCCAGATAACGCGGAAGGGTTCATGCTCCGACCACGTCAAGTGAACACAGCGGCAGGGCGAGTTTACACCACTTTGGAAACCGCGACGTTCGGGGAGTATGCTCACACGGCAGCAGAGGCGGAGTTTGGACCTGGCGCGGTGGTGGTTCCGCTCATCCTCTCGAGTGATGCGACCATTCTAAGCGGTGATGAGCGCACCAGAGTGTGGGCGGTGTACATCTCCATCACAAGCATACTGCTCTACCGCTGATGGCTTGATTGCGGGAAGATTCTGCTGGCGATGCTCCCGTTTCCGCCGAATAACATGGCTTCGGCCCAGAAAGTGGAGCTATTTCTGGCGGCGATGAAGATCGTGCTGGCCGATCTTATCGTCGCCAGTCACACGTAAGTAAACTGACGTTTTGTTTACTGACACCAGGCAGTCTGTTTGCACCGGCTCTTAGCTAGAACATGCACATGTGTTATGGACTGCCATGTCAGCTAACTTGTGCGCGCCTCCTTTCGTCGTGTCCTTGGATTGGCAGGGGATTAGCAGCCAAGGATCCGACAGGGGTGGACCGCTTCTTTGTGCCTCTGCTGTTCTCCTACGTTGCTGACTACCCCTAGACCTGCAAGGTCTCGTGCACGCAGCAACTGGCCTCGGCGATGCCTTGCTCTATCTGCTACGTGGGGCGAGGGCAGCTCCGAGACATGGAGCGGGACCCAGCCGACCACCACACGGCCGAGCAGCAGGAGCAGCTCGTGGGCGACCCAACGGCGGCGAAGGAGTACTCGACCTTGACAATCCCGGTAACTATACCGCTCTGTCGTTGCAACATATGTTAGCCTTCTGTGTGTGTTGGCGGTGGCCCCCGCGTTTCTAGGCTTATGTAACTTAACGGCCCATCCCTGCCCACACTCCCCAATGACAGAGCTTCCTGTGGGATTTCAACTTCAGCCGTACCCTGTGGGGCAACACGTATCTGGCGCATATGCCAGACATTCTGCACGCCATCTACATCGGCTTCTGGTTCTACATACGGGGTGTCCTGCGGGGGTCCGGCACCATGGCAAGATGGCAGGACGAGTATGTGACACTTGCATGTGAACAACATAATCCCACTTCTCTGGCATGGTGTTTTTCCTGAACGTACTCCTATTGCTCTCCGGCATTCCGTGGCAGGCACATGCAGACCATGTATCCCGACGCTCACCTCGCCCTCCCGGGTCTGGCAGCTACTGGGCCAGCGGCGCAAACTTCACCGCCAGCGAGCACGCCGGCGCCATGATGGTGCGTTACGCTATTTTGTACAGGCATTTTTAACGGCTAATGCCACGTCCGTGGGTTGCTATACTGTGAGCGGGACTGACCAGCCGCGCTGTCGTGTCGCAGCTTGCACCGTTCGCGCTCGAGGGGGAGGGGGAGATCGTCAACAGGCTGGCGCTCATGACTGAGCTTGAGCGGCACGAGGCTGGCGTGCGTGCTCCAAGTCACTCTGACGTGTCCCTTGGAGACTTTGAGCAGGCGACAAAGAGGTAAGGCGCCCACCCTGGTTGATTATAGCCGTTGTTGCTTCCTTGCCAATGCTAATATGCTATTGGTTGGAGTACGCAGGACGATACAGACTGTGGAGTCTGTCTTCCCGCGAGAGGGAGGTGGGTGGAACCTAATCAAGGTCCACCTCCTCACCCACGTGCCCGAGTCTGTCAGGCGCGCCGGGTTACCGAGCCAGTACTCGGCGGCTGTGTACGAGAACGCTCACATCCGTACTTGCAAGCTGCCTTACAGGACATCCAACCGCCGCCAGTCCCTGCAGGCGATAACCGCGCACAACGTGCGTGCCGCTGCGCTAGCGCGGCTGACAACGACTCTCCCGTCCCGCAGGCGCAACCAGACGGCCTTGACCCGGATAAGGGTTCCGTTTGGTGGGTGTATTCGATGAGCAACCAATATGTAGTGTGCCGTTATGCTAATGTACAATTAGACTCCATTGGACCGATGCATCTGTCTCCAGGCTATTGCGTCGGGCACCCCTCAGCTGACGGCAACACGGAAGTCCCTGACTGCGTGGCCCGACCATGACCTTGAAGCGGGCTCAGTTTTTGAGGAGATCAACCAGGCCGTCGGGGGGCTCCTAATGGACTACGACACTGTGATGCGCCATGCCGGCCTGCGCCCCTTCCCAGCCTGGGTAAGTGTGTCGTAAGTAGTTACCCCTGGTAGGACAACGTAGGGGCTCTCGAACATGGCCTGGTACGCATTGTGACGCCTCGGCGTAGGCCAAAACCTCCACTGGCCAGGTCTATCGCTACATGCTCTCAACAGCCCGCCCTTAACCGCAGGCTTGTCAACCGTCCTTTGTGACCCAATACCACCATGCGCGCTGCAGGCGCACACTGTAGTGGCGCTGCCGGCCCTGCCAACCAACCACAGGCACATCAAGCCCCATTATGCCCGTGCTGCTGCATCGCTGCACGGGCGCACGGCCTTCTCCTGAGTGGAGTACGATTCGGCCCGTGGACAGACCCAGTACGGACGGCTGCTCATGCTTCTGGATGCAGAGCGTCCGCTGGACGACCTCAACCATGAGCCGGCAGAGGTGGCCGTGCTGCAGAGGCTGCCCCCCCAGGGCCTTGACCAGTGCACAGGCTGCCAGATGCTCGGCCCACCCGAGTATTATCGGGGGCTGGTTGTTGTCCCCATCTCCCAGCTCCGCCGCGCAGTCCACTGCGTGCCGTCGTTCAATGAGCCAGACCTCTGGTACCTCAACAAGTGGGCCTACCTTATCAACGAGGAACGGGACTAGGTGCGTGAGCTGGGGCTCACAATAGTAACTTTGGTTCACATCTTGCGGAAGCGTGTGTGCCTGTCCTTCTGGCCTTGTGTGCAGCTTCATTCCTGGCATAACCCGTAGCATGCCTCGTAGAATTTACTTGCCTTTGCTTGCACGATGCTATAGTGTGTGTGCAGTGTCACATGTTTTTGTGCACATGTGAGGTTGTTGTATGGGCATTAGCCTTATATATGTTTCCTGTATTTGCAAAAGCTCTGTAATGAGCTTGTTTCAAAGAGGGTCATTGCACTTGATACCATACCGGACTGGCATAGCGGAACTGGCATCGGCTGTGATACCTGGGATGCACCTGGGAGGGCTGTGCAAACCTACGCAATGTCCAGAGACACATCTGGAATACTTCTGACATGCCACCCCCTTGCACACCTTGGCAGACCTCCGATTTTGATGGTCGAGCGAGCTCTGTTTTTTTGTGATGATTAACCTTGCCAGCCCGACGTGGCCTTCTCGCTAAACCCACTCCGCCTACTAGAACCGCACATGGCTGCGACGCAACCGTTACCACCGCCCCAGTGACTCCAAGGGCTGTCTCCGCTGCAAATAACGACTCCCAATCAAGTGGGCCGACCACGCCTGCAACTGGCAGTAACACGTCACGTGTTTCAAACACTGAAAAGATGCCCGCCTCAACTCTCCCTCCGCGTGCTCCTGCTCATCACGTTGACGATATTGGCACGGCAAGGAAAGATGCACCCTTAAATGTAGTGGGAAAGGGATCCGCGGGAAATGGCGTGGAAGGAAAGGGCGCAGCAGGCAAGGACGCAACGGGCAAGGGTCCAGGCAAGGGCGGAGCGGGAGCTACCGCAGCACGTAAGGGCGCGGAGAGCAAGGGCGCATCAGGCAAGGGCGCGTCGGGCAAGGTCGAGGAAGGCAAGGGCGCGGCGGGCAAGGTCGCGGAAGGCAAGGGCGCCGCGGGCAAGGTCGCGGAAGGCAAGGACGCAACTGGCGCTGGCGCAGCGAATAAGGGCGCGGCGAAGAAGGGCGCAGCAGGCAAGAGCGCAGCAAACAAGGGCGCGACAGACAAGGGCGCAGCAGACAAGGGCGCAGCAGACAAGGGCACAACGAACGCAAAGCACGAGGCGCGTCCTCAGATGGCCGCGCCGCCTCACACGGCCGCGCCGCCTCACATTGCTACGGCTGAGGATGTGGCGATCCACACTGTGAAGACGGCATCGAACAACCATCCTGCTGGGTCGAACGCCCAGCGCGCCGCGCGTCCTCATATGGTGATGGCTGAGGACGTGGCAATCCACACCCTGAAGACGTCACCGGGCAATCATCCTGCTGCGTCGAACGCACAATTGCGCCAACCCAGCGCGCGTTCTCACATGGCGACGGCTGAGGACGTGGCGATAATTCGCCCGGGATCTGCTAAGACAACGGCGATAAGGAAGAACGACAACGACAGAGACGGCGGCAGGAACAATGACAGCGACCGGGTCGATGACAATGAGAAGGATAATGACAACGATGCAGTGCAGTGGCATGGGGGGGAGAGCAGCAGCACGCGCATGAATGTTGGCAGCAAGGGAAAGCGACGGGGCAGGACTCATGGCACCATCAAGAGAGCATCATCCCTCTTTTCTCGGTTCAGCGACAGCCGTGGCTGGGAGCCTCGCAGCAATCAGCGCACTGGGCTGGACAAGGCACCGCAGTTTTGCATGGCGACAAGCAGCGATGTGATCCTACCCAGGAGTGGGACTCAGGGCACCGCCAAGGGAGCACCCTCCCCCGTGTCTCGCCTCAACAACAACAATGTTTGGGAGCTTGAGGACAATCAGCGCACTGGGTTCCATAAAGCACTGCAGTTTCGCATGGGGACGAGCAGCGATGTGGCCATTCACAGGAGCGTGGTGCAAGGCGCAGACCGTGGTGTGAACTATGGGAATGAGCGGCTGGGTGTACAAGCTAAGGGCGGCAATTGCGATGGTGATAACAACGGAGGCAGCAGCGGCGTTGACAATGGCAGCGGCAGCGGCAGCAATGGAGGAGGAGGGCCGATTGATATCGGCGTGATCCTGGAGGTGCACAACGCGGCGCGGCGGGAGGTGGGGGTGGCGGATCTGGCATGGGAGGACGGCGTGGCAGCAGCAGCGCAGGAGTGGGCGGACCAGCTCGCCTCCGCGGGGTGCCCGCTGCAGCACGGCGGCGCGGAAGGGCTCGGGCAGAACCTGTACTGGCGCTCGCCGGCAGCGCTGACCCCCGAGGAGGATCGCATGGCGGTGCAGGCGTGGGTGGATGAGAAGGCGGATTGGACTCCCAGCCCCGTGCCCGAGGGGTGTGTGGAGGGGCGGATGTGCGGGCATTACACGCAGGTGGTGTTGGCGGGAACGACCCATGTGGGGTGTGCGTTGGCGCAATGCCCTGATGGGGGTGGCATGTGGGTGTGTGATTACTCGCCCCAGGGGAACATCATTGGGTCCAGTCCGTTTTAGAGTGGTGGTGGTGGTCATCTGAACCTATCTTTGTGCATAGGGTAGGGGGGAAGTCGTGTGAATGGTTTATACCTTGTTTATATGTTATGGCCGTGCATATTTCATTGGTGTTAATCTTGGAACATTTAGACATGATCACTTATCGTTATCATGCAAGCAAACAGCAATAAGCAGAGTGCAAGGAACAGTATCAGTAAGAATTGGTAAGAAACTGTTTTGACACATCTAGAGTGCTTTCTTTACATCTAACATATCTAAACAAAAGTTGGACTTTTAGTTTGTAAGCTGTGTGGCGCGGCACATCTCTTTACAGTATGGTTGAGTACGGTGAGAGATGTACAGCCTTGTGCGCAATTTCTCGTGATACCGTATGTTGAGTTTCTATTTCAGTATCCGTTTCAGTCGTTGCGCACCCTCTGCCTCGAGATTACCGATTCCACCGCTATGCCAGTAGCTGGCAGCGAGAAAGCATTATTTTTTTAGACCAAGGGATCATGCGTTAGCGAGGAAATACTTTCGAGGAACTAGTTCGTACGAACATAGTCCTACCACAAGATTATTTTTGAGTAGTACTTGATTCTTTTATTGAGTAGCAGTTCGAGAAGCTAGGTTGGCTAAGTTACTCCACCATGGATCGCGAATGGGGGATCAAGCCCGGAGGCGGCGCCACCGCGTCCGCGCAAAGCGAGGCGATCGACCGGCGAGAGCGTCTGCGACGATCAGCGCTTGAAACCCGCAACTTCGCGAAAGATCCCTACTTTATGCAGAACCATCTTGGAAGGTTCGTATTTCGACCATCTAGCTATGGAACTTCATTACTTCGTAAAGTATCAGCCGATGGTCCTTAGTGAAAAGGTCGATCCGGAAAAAGGATGTGTTTTCGGGAACCGTTTCGAAAGTGGCCCGTTTTTAGGTCTTGAAAGGTTCCTCTCGAGTCGCATCAACTTGCGGTGAACTCGTATTGCCGACGGAATTGTTTCGGGAGATTCACACCGTGTGAGCAAATCACGAGTTTTTTTTTTTTTTTTTTTTTTTTTTTCTTCCATTCAAATTCCTCCGTCTGGCTCACACGTACGGCAAGCACCTCAATGAGTTTGCTTGAGGCACGTCAACCTTCTTCCTCCCTGCAAGCATCAGCCTCAAGTTGCATCACCAGCAGAACCTGGCCGAGCGGTCAAGCCTCCCTTGGTCAATAATATCCTCACCCTCTAACCACATTCTCTTCCTCGTCCTCTGCCCATTCTTTCTTGAGGCGCCTCAACCTTCTCCCTTACTTCAAGCCTCAGCCTCAAGTTGCATCACTAGCAGAACCTGGCCAAGCGGCCAAGCCTCCCTTGTCAATCATTTCCTCACTCCCTCCCCTCTAACCCCATTCTCCCCCCCCTCCTCCAATAGTTACGAGTGCAAGCTCTGCTTAACGCTCCACACAGCACGAGGAAAGTATTTCACGCACACGCAGGGCCATCAGAATCTGGCGAAGCCTTTTCTTCCGCTTCCAAGTCGCATGTTGCCAGTTCTCCCTTCAATCCTTCATCTCCCCCTTCCCCCCCTCCCCCACAACTACAGCTACGACTGCCTGTGAGGATTAGGACGTGAATGGAAATGAACTATGAGCGAACTGGTACAAGTACTAACCCTAATTGGGTTGTACCCCTTATGGGCTACCTTATTGTAGCCTACACAACATGCAAGTACTATGATGTTCTGACACACCCCCATAGGCAAAGTGGGGGAGAACAAGGGGTCACAAGACCAGTCAAGCAAAGCAAAGCAAAGCAAGCTCAGGGTGGATCACAACGTCACCACACATTCCGAGCACAAGTTCAAGGCCACAAGGCCAGTTCACATGGAAGAGTACATATATACAAAACAGGGCTAGACAAGCAAGAGCAGGTATATATATATATGTAACAGTACAAGCAAGGTCAAGAGGTGAGCAAGTGAGGTCCAGTAGGCACAAGGCCTAGAAGAGTGCAAAAGCGCTGATGGTCACAAGGCTGAAGCGCCTTGGTGAACACATCAGCAGTGTTGGCTTCAGTGGCCACGTAACGCAGACGAAGCTGACCACGCTGCTGCAGCTCTCGAGCAAGGAAGTAGCGCAGAGCAATGTGCTTCGTTCTGTGCTCCAGTCTGTGCTCCTCACACAAGGCAATGGCTGCCTTGTTGTCGACGTACAGCACTGGAGGAGAACGAGGCCGCTCTCCAAGGTCAGTCAGCAAGTAGGTGAGCCAGCGTAGCTCCTGGGCCGCAATGGCCGTGGCGTAGATCTCAGCCTCACAACTGGAGCTGAGAACAGAAGAAGAGCGTGTAGAACGCCAAGAGACTGAACCAGAGCCAAGACTGAAGGTGTAACCCTGAGACGACTGCTGAGTAGCCTGGTCGTAAGCCCAAGAAGCGTCTGAATGCCCAGTGAGAACAACCCGGTCTCGCCCTCCAAGCACTAGCCCCATGCCCGACGTACTGCACAAGTAGCGCAACACCCTCTTAGCTGCATCCATGTGCTCCTTCCGGTGACGGCCGGGAGCGACATAGCGTGCAAGGATGCTAAGAGGGTATGCAAGGTCAGGTCTAGTGCAGGTCATCAGGTACATGAGGCAGCCCACAAGCTCTGGATACGGGCCACTCGGCTCTACGGACTCATCCGAAGGCAGAGCTGAGAGCGAGTGTCCCGTAGGCAGAGGAGTGGACTGAGGCGAGGAGTACGTGAAGCCGAAGCGCTGAAGGACCTGCTGCACCATGTGTGACTGAGTCAGGGTAATGGTGCGGCGTGCTCTGTCCCGGGTGATCCGCAAGCCAAGATAGCTTGTCAATTCACCCAGGTCTGTGCACGTGTGTCTCTTCTGCAGCTCGGACTTCACGTGGGCGAGTGCGGCAGTGTCCGCAGTGGCAAAGACCAAGTCGTCGACGTACACGAGGATGTAGAACGGCGGCAGTGAGGTGTCGGTGCGTAGAAACAGCGACGGGTCAGCAGTAGAAGGAGCGAACCCAAGAGCCGCAAGTGTAGTCCTCAGTGTGTCGTGCCACTCACGCGGCGCCTGGCGGAGACCGTAGACTGGCCGGCGGAGGCTCCACTGGGTACCAGGAGGGAACGACCCAGTGAAGCTAGGAGGGCGGCGCAGCCAGATCTCCTCGTGCAGGCTGCCCTGCAAGAACGCAGTACTGAAGTCAAGAGAGTGGAGCTCGTTGTCACGCTGAGCGGCGACGTGCAGCAGAACCCGAAGAATGGTCATCTTCGGGGTCGGGGAGAAGCTCTGGAAGAAGTCAACTCCCTGCCGCTGACTGAAGCCACGAGCGACGTAACGCGTCTTGAAGACAGGCGGAGAACCCGGCGGCCGTTTCACCCTGAAAATCCACATGCCACTGGCGATGTTCGCCCCAGGTGGGGGAACCTCGTCGACGTAGGTGCCTGTGGACTTCCACGAAGCCATCTCCGCGTCCATGGCTGTCTGCCACTGAGAGGAGTAGGGACCGGCCATCGCCTTTGCGTAAGTGCGTGGGGTCGGTATGTCTGGAGCATCCGGGTCTCCCTCAGGGGCAACAAGCATGGACACGAGATGAGGCAAAGCGGCGGCAAAGGACTCAAACTCCTCCTGACTATCCTCAAGGACGTCCGTGCCAAGAGCACACTCACCCCCGACGGACGGAGGACAGGCAGACTCAGACTCAGCAACAAGACTCGCGGCGTAGTCTAGACGACACGCGGCAGCAAAGTTGACCAGCTCAGCAACTAAGGCAGACGCAGCAGCGGACTCCAATGAAGGGTCAGTGACAACAGTAGCAAGGAGACGCGTGAGAGTAGGACTGGCAGCACGGAGAGAGTCCGACTCCAAGTCGGCAAGAGCAGGAAGAGAAGACTCAGAAGGAGAAGGCAAAGGGGCACGCAGAGGAGCAGTGGACGGACGCAGAGACATCCGGTGCGTGCCAGGGACAGGAGGAGGACGCTGACGTGAAATGCGACCACTAGCACGAGCAGCACGGACAGGCGACGCAGGGCGAGACGCAGGCTCACGACGCTCAGCACGACCCCCAGTAGGACTAGTGTAGGGAGACGGAGCAGGCAGTGGGGAGGCGGGCTGTGACTGTAACTGTGACGGGTCAGGCTATGGACACTCTAAAGGAGGAGAAGGACCAGTGGAAGACGGGAGACTAAGAACCTCCTGAAGGAGCAGAACGAAGTACGGCCGAGGCCGTGCGGCGACTCCAGACACAGCAAGGACAGCACCAGCACCCGTAGCAGCTCCAGCTCCAGAACCTCCAGTAGCACCAGTAGTACCCCCAGCAGGACCGCCGCCAAGACCGACAGCAGTAGCCTCCGCGCCAACACCCGCAGCAGCTCCAGCTTCTGAGGCACCCGCAGGTCCGGCAGCTCCAGTACTCATAGTACGAGCACCTCCAGGACCTGTTGCACCAGCTCCCTCATCCGCAACAGAACCTCCAGTACCCGCAGCACCTCCAAGTACAGCAGCTCTCCTCCAGCGCCGGGCAGACCACTCACGTAGCTCCTGTGGAGAGAGCGGCTCCCGGCGAGAAGAAGGACCCGGAGAACTGTCAGGCACAGCACCAGCACGCTCAGCACCCTCAGGCGTAGCACACCCAGGCTCAGCACCCCCAGGCTCAGCACCCCTAGGCGTAGCACCCCCAGGCTCAGCACCCCCAGGCTCAGCACCCCCACCCTCAGCACCCCCAGGCTCAACACCCCCAGGCTCAGCACCCCCAGGCTCAGCACTCCCAGTCGTAGTACCCTCAGGCTCAGCACCCCCAGGCGTAGCACCCACATGCTCAGCACCCCCAGAGTCAGCACCCCCAGAGTCAGCACCCCCAGGCCTAGCACCCTCAGCAGCACCAGAGTCACCAGTGACCTCAACAGGCTCCCCAGCGTCTACCTGGGACACACTTGAAGGGGCAGGACCCTGAGGGTGTAGGGGGTCTACCGCGGGGGGACCAGGGACAAGGAAGAGCGGTTGGGGGGGGAGGGACGGAGTGCGGTAGGGGAAGAGACG